GTACTAATCAGCAGTGAGCTGTGGGTCTGCCAAGCAGGTTAGGAGCCAGTGCTTGGTGGCGTGGGAGCCCTCCTGGTTTCTCTGTATACCATGATGTGGGGGAGCTATGTGCAGGCTGGGGGTGTGGAGGTGTCGAAGTTTTGCTTCTTCTTGGTGGTTTTTCTTGTCTGGTGTGTCTCCAGCATCTCAGGAAAATTTTTACTTTAAGGAACACATGCTATCTGCTTCCTCCTTCTAGTCATCATCTTGGAAACTCCCAATTTGTAAGTCTTAAGTCTATTTTGCCATTCTGCAGAGGTAAGAGTTGAATAATTTATACTTCATGACTTCACCATCCTCTTGGAAGGCTGCCAAAGAAAGCATGTTTTGGGTAGAAATGCAGGGGTGAGAGCAAAAATTAAATAAAAAATTTAAAACCCAAGCTCACTATGGCATAAAGTAAGGTTTCATATCCTGATTATTCCCAGGTTCTACCATTCAGTCATCTTCCAGGATGGAAGGGATGTCATGGGTTACTGTGGATAGTGATAGGCCACTTTAGGCTGCATTAGCAAACTCCTTCCTTTGATAGGCAGTTCGTATGCAATGGGATTTGGGTTTTAGTTATAAAAGAATGATAGAAAATGCTACAAAGATCTGACCTCCTTTGCCCTTGCTGACATGGCGGCCTTTCTCTGCACATTTTATGTTGCTGTGGGGAGAATGACAAAAGACAGATGCTTCTTGCTGGAATGCTAGTTGTGTAATCATTCTTTCTAGTCCCAAGACATTTACTACAGCTTTTTGGAGCTGATATCCTGGGCTGCTCCTTGGTTTTTGATGTCTTGTAAAAGATGTTGCAATTTTCCATTACATGGAAAATGGGAATGTCTGAGGTTTTTTTTTTTAAAGGTGCACCTGAGATAGTATCTTTAGGCCAAAAGCTTTAAAATTGGCAGTGCAAAAATTTTTTGGAAAACAAACTGCAAGTTCTGACAATGAGACATGAAATGCTTCACCTGGTCTGGCTCCTAGCCCCCACACAGCCTCATACAGGTCTACAGAAGTGCTCATCTCCACTAAAAGGTTCAACAGTGACACACCAGACTAGCTTCCCCAATAGCATGGCAGTGCCCACAAGGGAGGAAACTCTCTTCCTCTCTATGTTCTGTGGTCCCCATGGACCCCTGGGACTATGCACAGCAGGCAAAATGACCTTGAGAATTATAGAAATCTCACCTCAGACACAGACCACCCTCCTCAGAAGGTCTATTGTGCTCTATGTTCGGAAAAGAAACTGAAAAGCTGTGACACAATCAAGCATTTTAATCACATTAAAGAACAACAGTAAACTAGTCTTTCAAATACAACCTTGTTCCCAAGAGGTTCCATTCTCACAGGCAAATTATAAGAGTGATTTGAAAAGTGATTCATTTTCTCTTTCCCTAAAAGTCATAACATTTAGTTGAACTTCATTATTTCTCTTGCTTTTGTGCATCATGTTACATTTGTTTTACTGAATATGTGCCCCTCTTTCTCTGGTTTAAGTTGCAGATTCTCTTGATTCACCCCATGGCCTCCCTCTGCTGTGCAGAAGGTCATTTCTTCCCTCTCTGGTGATACTGTGGCTCTGAAGAGCTCTCTCAGTGTGCAGGCACTGTAGAGTGGACAGCACCCACTGGAAATGGGAGTCTATATGTAAGACTCAGTACACAGGTGCCTGTGAACTGAGTCTTACATATGAGGGAAGTGCTGGGGAAGAACACACTAGAGTTATTTCCCATACACTCATGTGTGTATGAAGGGCATTTGGAAGCAGGTAGCTGAATAACAGGATTTTGTGTTTCTGTAGCATCTTTCACAAGCACATTTATAAACCTATAAAAATTATCTTTGAAGCCTCTCTTTAGCTGGACCAAGAACAAAACCTGTTTTCCTATTTTATAAGCTAAAACCAGAATAAGAAGCATTTCTGCTCTGCTAGCTTTACCCGGCTCAGAAAGTGAGTCCCACCCTTCCAAGATCAGCACCATCCTCTCCCAGCCTTTCTTTGGTTCTCCACTGTGTATAAACCATGTTCTTGGCTCCTCATTTGATCTTAAAATCAGAGTTGGGAGAATCAGTCCAAAGATTTGGACATTTTGTTCAGAGAGTGTTATAAATTCATCAAGATTTACTGGGTCTGCAAAACTTTCTTGGCATTCTTAACAGAATAACTGTCTTCTGTCCCTAGATGACTTCATGAGATGCAAGATTTGTGTGACTAGATGATACAGTTTCCTCATCACCCTGAAAGAGACCCACCCTGACACACTTCTCTGCCTTCATCCACGCTGTCCTTTCTTTTTGGCATGCTTTTCCTCCCTGCCCTATCCACCCCCAGGGTTCTTAGACCTCTTACAGAGCTCCAGTTAACTATCATCAGCTCCAGTTCTGCCTTCTTCGCAGTGTTCAGGAGTCTACTCACTCCTCCCGGAACATGTGTCTGGTGAAAGTTGTTGATCTTACCCTCAGCTCTACAAAAGTCCTATCAACATAGGCATCATCTCTACTTCTTTGCCGGAGATAAGATAAAGAACTGTCATGTGGCCTTGGCAATCAGACCAGAGACAAGCACAGGAAGGCTTTTGGTTCTCAATAGTAAAATAGGGTCCAAGGAAGATATGGTCAGACTTTTTCCTCTGGAAGTACCATTATTTGGCTGTGTCCTTAGGGCAGCTGCCTTACTCTCAGCAGCAAAGCACACTAGCTGGCTTCTTATAAACACCCATGGCCACTTAATTCTGAGAGTCTGAGTTTCCTCTTTTGTAAAATGAGGAAGTTGACCTAATCTATCTGCAGCTTCCTTCCAGTATTAGAATACCCTATATGCCTCTAAAAGATGATGGAGGAGAGCCTAGGAAGTAGAAAAGGCCAGCTAGTTTTATTTGTACTCTAACCATCTGAAGCCATTTACACTAACAAGCAACTTGCTTTTTAATGATTGGGTGATTTCAACTCTTCAGCTTAAGAAATTAGTGCTAATCTTATCTTAACCATGAAGTCATCCTTACACTCCCCTTTCCCTAAAGTGAAGATATTAATATCCACTCCCACCTCATTTGGTAAACAAAATTTTTCTACTAAAATTAAGTGAAACCAAAGTAGTACAAGTTTAGGAACTGAAAAAGATTTTTTCCTACTTTTACGTTTAACCATTTACCCCCTTCTTTATTTAATTATTGCCAAACCACCCCAAGAAGAGTAAAAGAATGAGTAAATGGTACAATGGGTTATATGGAAAAAAATTTTTTCAAAATACAGGATTACTTTCCCTGACATTAAGTCAATTTTAGCTTGCTTCAATAATTTTAAAAGAATTAAACTGAAGCACCATCTAGTGGCTTTCAATTGTGTTTTACTAAAAATTGTTCCAAATTTCCCTGTATTTCAGACCACAACTAAGTTATTGTTTGTGTATATGTGTATACATAGGTGTTAGAAAAGAAACATAATATGGGCTTTTCCATCTTTATGTAGAGACAGGAAAATGGGTATTGGGGAGCAGTAGCTGTAACTTTTTGCTCTTCCAATCTAATATCACCCACAGAAACATGGCAGTGAGAATGGAATGGAGAAATAACACGAATCCACATAAATCTCTCCCACAAATGACGGAGTCCTTTCAGTGAGAAGAGAGTTAATATAATGAAGTCCAATAGGTCTGAGTTCCTGTTTCTCCTACTCATATCCTCCCTAAGATCCCATGACAGTGCCTTCTTTATCTCAATCCTGCAATGCAGACTTGTCCTCATAGATCTTGGGAATGGCTGGCTGACCACTGTCCCTCAGACTCCCAAGGCCTTTCCCACCACAGCCCACAGCATCCCTTCAGCTTGCATATCCCACAGTTCTTCCATAACTGTCATAGAGATCACCCTCATACCTATGGTTCCTACCTTTTGAAGTGTGTCTGTTTCATTACCATTAGGGAAAGAACAAAAAATAGGCCACAACATGCTCAAGAGTAAAACACAACCTATTTTTGCAAGATTGACAGTGTTTTTTAGATTGACCAACTGGATATCTACATCAATTGAGATTGGGTTCATCTGTGTGTAAAGTGAAACCAAAAATAGCAGTAGCATGAACAAAATAGTTTATTCTCTTTCACATAAGGTCAATAGGTAAATGATCTAGGACCAAAGGGCAAATCCATGGTTATCAGGTCTAGGATCCTTCCAATCCTTTTCTCCAACTCTGTGAGTGGGTTCCCTCCTCTGTCCTCATGGCTCAAGTTGGCTCTGGACCTTCAGTCATCACACCAGTGTTGCAGTCCAGGAGATAAAAAGGAAAAGCAAAATAGAATCCTTCCTTTCTCTTTAAAGAGCTGTCTCAAAAATAGCACATGAGATTTGTGCTTAATCTCATTTTCCAAAACTAATGGTCATACTCAACTGCAAAAGAAATGCTATGTATATCCCCACAAAAAATAGAACTGGAGTTATGTTATTAAACAATGTATGAATTACCTAATGCCAGACAAAAGCTGTGTGATAGACAGTCACAGAATCTCTGTGGCAGCAATTGCTCATATGTCCAGGATCAGCAGAGGAGGGAGAAAGGCTGATTATCTTGATACTGGTTCATCACATATCTAGAGGAAGGCCGACTATTGAATCATGTGGGCTCAACAGAGAGGTGAGGGGCTAGATGAGGTGATTCAGCTGTGCTCTCTGAGGTTCTTATTCTCCATCTTCAGGTATTAGGAAGTAGAAACACACAAGACCTCGTGAGACCCACACTCCCATCTGGTACACTGCCATTTCTGCTGCATTTTACTGGGCAAAGATGGCTAAGCAATCTTCTTAGGCTATGAAGCAAAGTTGTTTTGATATGAACTCACTAAGGGAAAGGGCAGAGAAGATAAGTCATCCTTGGCATTCAAAGTGGCAAGCTCCAAGCCTTTGCATGTGTGTACACACTGTGTGCTAAGAGATTGAAGCAGACCTTCCCAACTAGCACATGGATTCTCATAAACTCTATGGTTTGAGAGTGACAGGAGCAGGTAAACTAGACTTCGAACATGAAGGCTGATTGCAAATGGCTGCTTTCGTATCTTCTCTCATCAAGTCTAAATTGGCTTCCAGATTTTCTGATTTGCATTTTCTAGGAAAAAGAAACATAAAATCTATCATTAAGCAGCAATGAACAGAAACCCTCAGAAGCTGAGAAGCCTAGAAGTAAACTATTGAGAAACCAAGCAACTTATTTCTTCCACCAAATCCTCAAGGAAAGCCCTAGGTGTGGTCCTTCATAGGTCAAAACCACAGCCAGTAAGAAGCCCCCGTGTTGTGGGAGCCTTTTCCTGGACTCTGAGTTGTTCACAAAGCCTAATGTTAAAAAAGAGACTAAGGGAGCACATGCAATGGGCCAAAAAACATATCAAGCTTTTCAGAACACATCATGAACTGCAAGTCTTACAATGATGCTTTCTTCCTAATGAATATTAACATTTTAGTCTTCAGTTCCTACCTGCACTTCTTTGTCCTTTTGAAGAAAGCAAATCCCAAAATGATCAGAATGACCACAAAAAGAATGAGTTTCACATACCAAATGAACAGTAAAAATGAAGACCTTAAGGTTCTTGTACCTTTAAATACAAACAAAGGTAAAAAAGTCAGCTTAAAGATTCTTCCATTTAACAAATTACAGTCAGTAGTTTAAAAGAGCACCTTAAACTATTCCTAAAAGCTCACAGATTGTCAAAATAAAAAATCCTTCTAAATTATATTTCATATATTACTAATAAGTCATTATTTCCAGAAAGAGTGTAAGAAACATGTCTGTGTTTTGTAGTTTGTAGGTTTTAATAAATGTTTTCTGGTTGAATGAAAGCTTACTATGCATTGTTAGTACTTCTCAATTTTATAAGAAAAAAGAAAATTTCCCCAGCAAATTTTAGTCTTCTGAAATGCATTATTCTTAATATTTGGGGCATGTTCTGATAATGCTTTTCACACACAGTGATGTGATTTTTGCCACAAATTTGTTTGAAAGTTAAAATCAGATTAATGAGGATCATCATTCTGAAATCTTTTCTTCCATGAAAATGGTAGCCTAAACACAGAGTAAACTCCACCTATGATTTTTGACTCTATTAAATAACATGTTTCATTAAATAATGTTCCGACTAAAATGGAAGAATAACAGACAATCTTCTAGGCAGTATAAGGGAATAAGATGACATGATCACAGTCCTCAGAAAGCTCAAAATCCAACTGGAGAAGTCAGATCCATACAAATGAAAAGACAACTTACAGGAGTGCTAAGTGAGCATTAGAGGAAATAGCACATCTAAGGGATAAGCATGCTTACTCAACTGAAATTGGGGGCCAGGGAGAAGGCGGATTTGAAGCGAGCCTCAGTGGTCCATCGGATTACATAAATTAGGAGAAGAAGGAAAGATTTTTCAAAAGAAAGAAAAACTTAACAGAGGTTTGAAAATTAGTTAACCTAAGTCATGTTAGGAACATAGAGTGGGAAATAGACAGATGAAGTCTGTGATGATCAGATCTTAATTCTGCAGGTGTCTGTGTCAGACCTCAGGGATATCCAATTTAAAAAGTGAGTCCTACTCTCAACAAACTTACACTATACTGGGAGTCAGCAGTATAGGAGTTGAGATACAATTTAAAAAAAAGTAGATTTGGTCTTTTTTCCCTAGTTTCTGGCACACTACTCCTAAAACCTTGGAAATGCCACAGTGGTAAAAGTATCTTTTTGTATGTTAATCAAATGACTGGTGTCTGGGAACTCTAGAGCTTCAGCGTGAGGTTTGTCATCAGAAAGATCAAGTCATGATTAAAGATTTGGTACATTACCTCCACTGACCTCTAGGAGGAAAGAGGGATTGAAGACTAAGCTAATAATCATCAGTGACCAATGATGAAAACAGTCATGACTACATAACTAAATCTCCATTAAAACCCTAAACAGCGAGATTTGAAGAGCTTCTGCATTGGAAGACACATCAAGGAGCTGGGAGACTGGCACTCCCTTGGAGCTTGGACGCTCCATGCCTCTCCCTCCATACCTTGCCATATGCAGTTCTTCCATTTGGCTTAACCTATGTTATATCCTTGATAATAAAACAATACTAGTAAATGAAGTCCCTTCCTGAGTTTTGTGAGCCATTCCAGCAAATTATTAAATCTGATAGGGAATAGAGGAAACCTCATGCATTTATAGCTAGTTGATTACAGTACAGGTGGCAACCAAGGATTTGTTACTAGTGTCTGAAGTAAAGGCAGCCTTGTGAGATTGAGTAGTTAATCTGTGAGGTATATGCTAACCCCAGGTAGTTAGTGTCAGACTTGAGTCAATTGTAGGACATCCAGCTACTCTCAGGAGAGCTTAAGAACTGGTTGTTGTTGGGGGGAAGAACACACACATTTGACATCAGAAGTGTTGTGAGTGAAAGCAGTGCAGTCATCAATTAAAAGGCTATAGCAGTTCCCTGTCAAAGGCATGCATAAAGCATTATGTGAGCACAGAGGGAAAACAAAACAAATTTCAAGATAAGGAAAAAGTCATCCCAGAGGATCAATGTTGAGCTAAGTCATAAAGCTTCAACAGGAATTGATCAAATCCCATGGAAGAAGTGAGCATGAGGAAGGAAATGCATTGTGGGGATTTGGAAACCGCATGTAAATCTGCAACAGAAAAATAAAAGAGCATAAGACTACTGGAGAGTCCACACAGGCCACACGCATACGATACAGGCTGGCAAACAGAGAGACAGGATGCTAAGGAGAGCCACAGGTAGAAGTTCCATGAGGCATAAGAGCCATTGGGGCTTTGTAAGTAGAAGAAGGGCAAGTTTTTCATTTTTGAAAGCTCCTTACGTGGGCTGGACATGGTAACTCATGCCTGTAAGCCCAGTTACTCAGAAAGCAGAGATCAGGAGGACCACAGTTTAGGACCAGCCTTGGCAGGTGTGGTGGTACATGCTGTAATACCAGCTATACAGGAGGCACAGGCAGAAGAATTTTTGTCCCTCCTGGACAAAGAGTGCAGCCCTACCTAAAATATAATCTAAACAAAAGTGGGGCTAGAAGCCTGGCTCAAGTGGGAGAGAAGGAAAAAGAAAGGCCCAGGCTTAAAGACTTTTAAGGTCTAATTAATAAAACAGTGACTTATTTTGAATATGAGAAAAAAGAAAGGAGAATATTGTAGGATATTTTAAGTTCTAGCTTAGGAAAAATAAGAAGTTGTAAATTGTAGTACAGAGTTCATGAAAGGATAAAAAAGAGGCGCTCCATTTCAGGAATGTGGAGGCTGAGCTGTCCCTGATGCATCTAGGTGAAGCTGTCCAATTGGAAGGTGATTTCAATCACCAACCAAAGGAAAGCAAAGGAGAGAAATCAAGCAAAACCACAGATATGTAAGAATCAAAAATCAGGCAATAGTTGAAGCCAGGGGTATGGGTCCATGCTTACTTAAGCAACAGAGGTAAAGTGAAAAGAGTGTCAAGGATGTAACCCACAGAAATGCTTTTATTCACAGTATGAATAAGTAAAAGGAAATAAAGGTTACTGAAAGTATGGAAGGAAAACACGAAAATGGGGGCACAGTGGCTCAAACCTGTAATCCTTGCTACTTGGGAGGTAGAGATCAGGAGGATCTTGGTTGGAGGCAAAACTTTATCTTAACCAATAACTGGACTTGGCCTGACTATGGCCCAAAGCATAAATAGGAGGATCACAGCCCAGGCCAGCCCAGGCAAAAATGTGAGACTCTATACCAAAAACAACTAAAAGTAAAAAGGGCCGAGGTCATGGCTCAAGTAGCAGAGCACCTGCCTAGAAGCCCTGAGTTCAAACCCCAGTACTACCAAAAAAAGAAAGAAAGAAAGAAAGAAAAGAAGAAAGGAGGAGAAACCAATTAACATATTACAAAGAAGCTAATTCATTATTTAAGTTAATAAATAATAAGGTTATTAATTATGGAATACCAATAAATGATGGATATTTAACATGACATTTGTTTTTTAAAAAAATGACAAAGAAGCTACATATGCAAATAAAGAAAGAAAACTCTGTATTTTATTTGGTATCTGGGAGATATTTGGTGTTTTTTGTCCAGCCACTATCTGGGCAGACAGGCACAAAGAGTTCAGGGATAGAAATGAGGTCATATAGGCGGCAATGAGTATGGACTCCTCTTTTCAAAAATCTTGGATACAGGTAGAAGGAAAGCACTAGAGTGAGGAAGTCTCAACATCAAGTTTTAACATAAGCATGTTTGTATGATCAGGGACATGATTGGGGAATCAAAAATACTTAAATAAAGAGAGGGTGTAATTAATGAAGCAAAGCATCTAAAGTGATAGAAGGGAAAAGATTTAAAATATAGGTTGAAAATAGGAGAGAAACACATTGGTTGAGAGATTTTAAAATGTAAAGTAGCAGACTTGATGGAAGATTGATTATGGAATGAATATAAAGGATTTGCGTGAAGGCTCCGACTCATACTACACCATGAAGGAATATCAAAAACGTTACGTTAAGTGAAAGAAACCTATTACAAAAAGCCATGTATTGCAAAATTCTATTTGAAATATCTAAATATTTCAAATAAATATCTAAATATTCAAATCTATAGAGACAGAAAGTAAATTCCTGGCTGCCTAAAGCTGGAAGAGTTGGGGAGATGATTACTAAAGGGTACAGGCTTCCTTCTGGAGTGATGAATATGTTCTAAAATTGACCACAAGTGAGGCTGCACACCACTGAATGGTACATTTTGACTGAATTGTAAGACATGTAAATTAAACCTTAATAAGACTATTGCAGAAAAAAGAATAAACAAACACGTTATGAGGAATAATATGACACTGTTTTTAATAGTAGTTACGTAGTTATAGTAGCTAATATGTATTAATGTAAGTTATATTAATATAAATTAACAGCTAAGATTTGTTACTGTGAAGAAATATAGTAGCTAACATTTATTGAGTACCAATTACATAGTAGGCAAGTACAATTACATACACATGTGTTGCTACATATACATATATACATAATTTTATTTAATTAACACAATGGCCTATGCATTAGGAACCATTGTCCACATTAATAGATGAAGAAAAACCGAGACAGAGAAATTAAATACTGTTCAAGTTCACACAACAGGTGAGTGAGAAACCATCTTTATGGTAATGCCAAACCCTTTGCACTAGACTATATCTCACGCTCATCAAAACACTGTGAAGATGTGGACCTTGTATTTCTATCCTTGAGTCATAGTGACAAACATAAAATAAATTTGATGAACATAGCTGAATGAATTGAGGGATTGATTTCAGATGACAAGATGAAGTGGGAAGAAAAACTTGTTTCGTACTCAGGGTAACAAATAAAGTAGTGACCACTACAACAAACAGAAACTCAGGAAGAGTAGATGTCATCTTTGGCTCTGTGCTCAATAAATATCATTAAAACCTTGCAAAAAGTACTGATTTTTATAGCAAAGTCTCAAAGCAACAGTCTTTAGATCACTAAGTTATAAAAACATTTTATGTCTGTTCTAAAAAGCATGTAGAAAAGTGCTAGGAAGATATTATTAAATACTGTCAATCCTTTCTATTTCCTGAAGAAGCACAAGTAGCTCTCTAGCACACAATGCGTGTCCTGGATTTAGAGAAATTCTGAAATAAGAACACAACGTTTCTTTCCTGTGTTTAGTTATTTATCTTGTGTGAAATAACAAGTTCAATGCCAATTCACTCTTCTAAAAGAAACAAAATGTTTACCTAGATCAAGATTTACAGGCAGTGTCTTGTTGCCAGTCAAAAGGGAGAATAAGCAGGCCACTGCAGCCCCTATACCCAGTGGCAGTACTCCTGATTGTCACCGTGATGCTGTGTACAACTCATACTCAGTGACACAAGTCCACTCTAGAGACAAAAGGATCTGTGCAGCTGACTTGTTTGTAATGGCTTTGCACAAAACAGTTCTAATTTATAAGTGACTTTATCTTTCTAATAAAATCGTAAGTGTCTGTTTAAAATTAAACTTTGTCCTTCAACTAAAGCAATGAGGGTTCTCTTCAAATACACTACTAAAATCAATTTACTTCTAATATATGCATCAGCATTAAAAGTAGAATAAGTTGCATTCTAAATTATAGCTATTTCAAAACAAAGTTCTGTAATATTCTTCTAGATATATCTCTGTATTTGGGGAAGAGGAGGAAGATAAAATGGAGGCTGAAGAGAGCACCCTTAAATGAAATTTCCATGTACACTCTTTCCTTTCTTATATAACTTCTCTAAAAGTTCTTACAGAAAGATATGACTTTAAACTATGTGTGTTATGTTGATTAAATAACTTAAATTTTTTTAAATAACAAAAAGTAGCAAAAGAGCAGAGTGAAAAATGTAAATCACAGATGTTATTAAAGACACTTAAGAAATTCCACCAAAACACTGAGTACCAGTGGCTTGGACCTCTAATCCTACCTACTTATGAGGCTGAAATCAGAGGATTATGGTTTGAGCCAGCCCAGGAAAATAGTTTGTGAGAACTCCATCTCCAAAATAACCAGAGCAAAATGTACTAGAGGTGTGGTTCAAACAGTAGAGCACCTACTTTGCAAGTGAAAAGCCCTGAATTCAAACCCCAGACCTGCAAAAAGAAGGAAAGAAAGAAAGACAAAGACAGAGAAAGGAAGGAAGGAAGAGAAAAAAATTCCACCAAGAAGAGCCTAGAGGAGATATGGAGGTAATTTATTAGTGACTTTATCTTTTTAACAAAATTGTAAGTATCTGTTTACACTATACTTCATCCTAAAATTAAAATTGTGAGTGTTCTTTTTAAAATACATGACTTGAGTTAATTTACTACCAGTATAGGAATGGGCATTAGAAGTAGAATAAACTGTATTTTAAAATATGACTCTTTACAAAAATTTCTATAGTATTTCTCTAGATATAGCTCTGTATTTGGGGGGAAGAAGATAAAATGGAGGTGAATAGGGCATTCTTGAATGAAATTTCTCTGCACACCCTTTCTCCTTTTAACATAACTTCTCCAAAAGAATGGAAAACTCAAACAAAAAAAGCTGGATGTGTTACGAACTAGAAGACAGCTGTAAGGATAGACTCCTGTTGCCAGTCAAATGGGAGACCAAGCAGGTCACAGCAGACGCATTACTATCTGGGCAGTGCCATGTACTCCTGACCGTCACCGTGTCATTGTCTGACCATTCTTTCTCAGTGGTACAATGCCCCTGTGGGGTCCAGGAGATCCGTGCAGCTGGCTTGCCTGCAACTGCCTCACACACCACAGTTCTGTTCTTGCCTCGGGTCAGGGTCACTTCAGGGGGCACTGCAGGGACGAAGGGGAAAATGCTTTAGTCTTCTCATAGAGAGGAGGGACATAGACAGACATTTGCCTCAATCACAAATCTGGTGATATGAACTACTATGGCATAGGACAGTCTTTACCTAACACTTGGAGGTTATATCCAAGACGATAATTCCCATCAGCCGTTACTATGTCACAACTGTAAAGTCCATCATGAGTGACAGCCACAGCATCAATCTGAAGGTGAGGATTCCGGTCAGGTCTGGAGGCCCAGGTTATCCTCCCATTAGTACAGCTGGGTGTGGCGGTCTCCTTTGTGTCTGGCTTGTAGGACAATCTGCAGAGAAGCTTGCCTCTGAGGATTACTTCCCACGCTATCATCACCAGCTTGCTTGTTGGTGGGAGAACAGGGCAACAGAGAACGGCCTTTTCACCAATCTGTACTGACAGCGACTTGTTAACTGGCCACACACAAAAGGAAACAGTAAAAGAAAAATTTAACAAGGAATGTTGTGTATTAGGTTTACCCATAACAGATTTCATGGAATTGTACTCAAAAATTGCCTTGTTTGTCATTGTATTCAGGAAATACTAAATTTACATAAGAAATTAACATTCACAAAATGTAGATAATGTATTAAACAAATTCCAAATTCCAAATCAATTTTCTCCTACAGTATTTATTATTAGGGAAACAGCATTTATTATAAAATATGTTAAAATTAATCCAGAAGTACTGATATCTAGAAACAGACAGGTAAGTGCTGGCTGCAGTGGCTCAAATCTATAATCCCATCTATGCAGGAGGCAGAGATGGGAGGATCAGGGTTCAAGTCTGGTTCACAACAGAAAAGGAGAGACCAGATATGAAAAATAAACTAAAGCAAAATGGGCTGAGGCACAATTCAAGTGACCCTGAGCTCAAAACCCAATCAAAAAAAAAAAAAAAAAAAGACAAGAAAACAGAATTCTAAATTAACTGGCACAGTTGACGTTCTTAGTATAACCTTTTTATGCATAGTGTTTTATCATACAATTCATTATCCTTAGAAAAAATGTACCCATCTGTATTGGCAGCAAAGTGTTAACTAGACACACATGCACACAAAAGAATGAGAAAAGTTCTTCATAAATGACTTGGTGATTTCAAAATAACCACAGCAGATTATGTGAAGTTATGCTAGAACATTGCTTTGCTGGTGATCATATTCTAGAAATATTAGAATTACATAATAAATTAATATTTAGAAAATATATAATGTATTAAATCAAATGCACATATTAACCAATTTCCTCTTATAGATTACTAATGAATCAACATATATTAGAAAGTATATTGAAATTAAGATAAGAGTTTTGGTATCTAGAAACAGACAAGAAAACAGAATTCTAAATCAATTAGAAAGGCAATGTTTAAATCTAATTTTTGGTTGTGGACAATATTAAAATTATTATACATTTCATGCTTCTTAGGAAAGAAAAGAGAATAACTTGTTATATAATGTCCCTCCTTAAGATTTGGTGAAAAAAAAATCAGTAACATCAAAACAAATTGCCTGTCCCTAAGAGTGAAGTTTTAGACAAACATTAATGTGGAAAGTATATGGAACTTTCACTAAAAGTACCTAATATGGTATTAGGTTTAACTAGCTGGAAACTTTAATATTTATTTTTAAATCACAAAGTCAGGGAAATAAGTAAATCTTAAAATAATTCATATTGTTCCCATCCATCAAAATGAAAATAACTCCTAGTAATAAGATATCTTTATGAATATTTATTTCTGATGTGAAATAGTTTGGTGTATTTTTTAAACAATTAAAAACCTCAGTTTTTATTGCCAATATATGATATTATCAAATATCATGTTTAGAAAAGTTTCCCTTCCTTCCTATTTAATCACACATATTAACTCACAGACAGTTCAGATGTGACTTTTGTTCACAGAATTAATTTCTATATTTCCAAATTATCAGGATTAAATATAAAAATTGACTTGTACCCTTGTATTCATCTCCTAAAATAAAAAAATTAAACCCTGTGACCTACAAACATCTTCCATAATAGAATAAAGGTGTCCATAACTGCTAGGGATTTGCTGGGAGGTAGTTACTCAAGGAAAGCATCTGTTTTAACACACCTGTGACAAAGGTGTCAGTGATGACATCATTTTAACACAAGCAGAGCAAGCTATGGTCGGGCAAACTTTTTATGTGAATGAACTTGTTAAACTCTGCATTTACTATCTCTCCTTTCCTATTTCAGTCTCTTGACTCTTATAAGTACTCAAGCTTTCACATTTCATGTTTAAATAATGATCACAACTAGATGAAGAAAGAGGTGGGGCTTTAACATGACATGAGAGGTAGTTAAACCCATGCTCTTTTCACCACTCCAAGATGACAAAGGTTTAGAGGCAAGCAAGAAGGTAACTTGTCTGGGGAACAACTGGAGGTTGGGTCATTCAGAGTCCCTGATGCCACAGCACTCAGGTCACCAGACTCTTCAACTAGTCGTAAGGCTGCCTGAGCCAGGTCATCAGCTACTGTTCCTAACCAAGGTCAGCTCTCCACCCCTCAGGGCTGGCTACTAGATAAGGAATCATATTACCTTCTGCGAGAGGTGATGAATTGTCCTGTGCCATCTGCCTTTCATCCGCACATGAACTATTTGAATCTAGGAAATATTTAGAAAAGAGAAAATGAAGTCAATTTTGTATACACAGAGTAGAAGCCATTGTTACTCTACAGAGTCTCATATAACATGATAGAAAACAAGTACACTTTAACTGAAACTACCCAAAAATCACTGCATTAAGGTTATGACACAGGCAGGGGAAAAAGTAGCTGTTTTGAAAATTACATTCATAATGTATGAATAATTGCAGATTCATGAGCACCTTCTGTTGTCACCTATTTCATTCATGGTGTCTCTGCTTCCTTTCTCAAGCAAGGGAGATTGGTCAGGTGTGGGAATCTTACATGAAATGGTCTAATTAAACTCTTTTTCCAGGTGTTACTCCCTAATTAAAGTTATTTGATCAGATGATTGCACTTTACACATATGTACAAAGCAAAACCTTTTCTCATAAATTTTAGGATTGGGATTGAAAACAATGCTTTCATTTCCCTTCTTCATTTTTTCTTCCTTAGAGAAGAGGGGTAAAAGGGAAAATGACACAGAAATAGAGGGGGAACAGTACACCTCAATTTCAATCTTCTAATTTAAAAGTTCCTGTGACTCTCATATATTCTTTCCCTTATGTTCTGTAAGATATTTTTTTTGTAATCAAAACACTACTGATTAACTTCAAATTTGGCTTTTGAAAAATTTCTGAGGTATAGTTTCTTAAAAACTCAAGGATACAAAGGAAAGGAGGAAGGAATTAGGATTATTTTGTTATAAGGTACTCACATAGTTCATAAAACAGTACATTGTTTTTTAAAAGATTAATTGTAATCATATGTTGCAAACTACGGCAACCACTAAAAAAAGAGTTTGTCTGGTATGATAAGAAACCAGGCAAAATGGAAAGAAAAATGTTCAACTAAAACCATGAAATTTAGAAAAGAGTACATGATAAATATAGAAACCAATAACAAGAGCAGCAAATAGAAAATAGTAACAGCTTTGGTATATATTAATCTAAGGACATCAGTAACCAATTTCAATATTGATGGTCTAAACATATGAATAAAAAGATGTGTCTCAGAGGATCAAAAATCAAGATGCAACTGAATGTTTCTATAAGAAACCCATGTTAAATACAAAAACACAATAGTGTAAATGTAAAGGGATGCTAACACTAATTGAAAGAAAATGGAAGTGGCAATATTAATTTTGGACAGAAAAAAGTTCAGAGCAAGGAATGTTATAGGGAAAAAGAAAAAAATCACATAATTATAAATGGGTCAGTTCTCCAAGGAGACATAAAAGAAGAACAAATAAAAGAGATACAGATTAAGAAAGTAGAAATAAAACTGCTTTTCTTCACAGATGACATGATCGTCTTTGTGTAAAATCTGAAAGAACTGAGCAAACAAAACCCTTCTTGAACTAATAAGCAATTGTAGCAAGTTTGCAGATACATAGTTAATGCACAAAAATCAATTGCTTTTGTATATACCATCAATGAATAATGGAATTTCAAATTTAAAACACAAAACCATTTATACTAGCACCCCTGAAAATGAAATACTTAGGTATAAAATTAATTTAATATGTACAAGATCTATATGAGAAAAACTAAAACTCTGATGAGAGAAAAAAATTAAATAAGTAAAGAAATATTCCACAGAGAGAAAAATTCAATATTGTCAAGATGTCAACATTTCCTGACTTGATCAGGGGTTTTTATCTAATGCTATTTACTCTGCATCCTAAATACTTCAAATAATGGCTTGCACAACTCTCTCACATGTGGCTGGCTCAAATGGGAATAAAAATAACGGTCAACACTATGCTATAGCCTACTAGACTAAAGTTATGAAGACATGGGGCACGCCCTTATGCTGTCGGTGAGAATGTAGAACTATTACAACTTTGACAGGAAGAAATTTAGTGATACAGAGCCAAATCACTGATGCATATTACTTTTGAGTCAAAAATCCTACTTCTAGGAACCTCTCCCAAGGATACACAGGGAATAGAGTGAAAAGAATACATGCACAAGGCTGTTCATTACAACATTATTTATGATTGTAAGATTTGGAAATAACTCAAATACCTATCCATAGGAAATTGATTGACTAAACTATGGTTTATACACAAATTGAACTACAATGAAAGTCTGTAATAAAGAATGAGGAATAGCTCTATAAACTATTATGGAGTGGCTAGGATACATTGCTAACTAAAAGAACCAAGTTAGATAAAAGTGTGCAATAGCATACTATCATTAATCTAAAATATTCTTTTCTTGATTATAATTGCAAAACTGGGAGGATAAAATGGGACAGGACTAGAAATGAGATGTTTCTGAATATTCTTCATTTTGTAGATTTGACTGTGGAACCATGTAACAATTTTGTATAATTATAAGGCATATTTAAGTGAATTTTAAATTATTTATAAGCTCTAAAACTACAAAGCAAAATGAAACAAACCTAATTGTGTGAAAATTGTTTGCATAAATTGTTTGAATGAGCTATTCCAAGAAACTTTAAAAACATAGTTATTTGACTGGATGTCTATAGAAGAATATAACTTAATGACAAAATAACTGAAAAAAATTCTTAAACTGTTGTCAATAATCACATTGGTGAGAGTGATTGGTATTGTTATCACAAACTATTCTATATATGCTATGGGATAGATCAAAGGAATTATTCATAGAAATTGAGAGTATAATACTAGTTACCAGACCCTGGGGAGATTAGAGAAGAGGGAGGATCAGAGTTGGTCACTGAGTACAAAGTTATGGTTAGATAAAGTCTGATGCTCTACAGAATCACAGGAGGAGCATAGTTAACAGTAATGCAGTGTACATCTCGAAATATTTGGAAAAAGTATTCTGAATGTGCTCACCATAAAGAAATAATAAAAGTTTACGGTAACATAAGGATATGCTAATTAAGCAAAACATCATATTGTACCTTGTAAATATGTATAAATGTTACATGTCAATCAAAAAATAAAATTGATGAATTAAGAAGAAAACAATTAAAGGATTTATTATTATTATTGATGTCATGCAATTTTTCAATGAGGAAGAAAAAAGTTGAAAAAATAAGCAAGTTCAAGTAAAAACAAAGTGTTAAATTTACATCAAAAGTATCAAATCAGCTCACACTATTTTTTATCTTTCAAAATAATCTGTATGTATTTCCTTTCTGCTGCTAAGTTTTGGGATCATTCATTACAAAGTAATAAATAACCAATATAGTTACCAACCACATTGACCTAATTGATATTTTTGGAACACTAGCCCAGCGTATGTAAAACACATTTTTTAAGTGTATATGATACATTCACTAAGCTTGATCACATTCTGAGCCACAAAGCAAATCTTGAAAAAATTTTAAAAACTGAAATCACACAAGAGATGCTCTCCAACCAAAACAGAATTAAATTGGAAATCAATTATAATGAGAAACCAAATACTTGGAAGTTAAACACATTTCTAAGGAACTCTTTCATCAAAGAAGAAATCTACAAAGAAATTAGAGTGTATTTTGACAGGATGATAATAAAAATACAACATTCCAAATTATAATTTTTAAAAAAAGAAACATCTGAAAGTTACCTTAAACAGTTCAAACAAAAAAGAAAGAATTAAATAATAAATATAAGAATTAAATCAATAAAATACAAAATAAGTAATGTAAAAAATTAGGTAAATTGAATGGTGGGCCTTGGCTGAGGTATAGCTCAGTGGTTCAGCACTAGCCTAGCATGCACAAGGCTGAAGGTTTCATCCCCAGTAACATGGCCCCCTGCCCCCTCACACACAAAAAGCTGGTTCTTTGAAAATATCATAGTGATATAAACCTTAATGAGAATGGTCAAGAAAAAAATAAAACACAAATCTCTAATACTGGGAATTAAAGAAGGACTACTTATATAAGCCTGCATTTCTGCATGGCACCATGCAGCCTTTCTCTTCTCTACAAATAAAACCTTTCCGACTTCTGTAGCTCAAGTCCTCCTCTGTTTTCATTCTCAGAGCAGACCTGAGGACCCTCAACTGCTAAAAATTCCTCCGTGTCATCTATGCATCATCTGGTGACCACGAAAGGACACTTCTTCACCTGAGGTTGGTACAGGTTGTGCCAACCTGGAGGGGACTGCCTAGGAAGTGCCTGTGACTGTTCATCACTCCAATGGAGTCCATCTTCCAGGAGAGCCCCCCACAACAGCTTAGCTAGGGTGGATCTCTTAAGCCGACTTTCCCTGTCTCTGTCTCTCTGTCTCTCTCTCTCTCTCTCTCTCTTCCTAGGAAAGCTTTCTCCCTTGGGAACCTGGAGGAAAAGCTCCAAGCCCTCCACAGCTGTTAAGGCAGGTAACCTGAGAAATCAGGGGCTGGCCAGGGGCTTATACTGGACTGCCGATGCTATGGGGGCAGTGCTAAAACTTCAGTGCACGGAGGCTTTTTTCCTCTCAACTCTCGGTTCCCTTCCTCCTTAAACTCTCTCCCTTGCAGATCTGACCTGCTTATGAGGAGGTACAAAAACAACTGGTGGAAAGGAAAGTTTCTCTTCAAGCTGTAAGGGTGCTCTGGCTGAGGCAACTCCCAAGCGACACCCAATGAAGATGCAATTTCATGACCCACTCTAAGGCCCCAAAGGTGGCTGAGTATTGGACCCCTCCAGCCATGTCTGCACAAACACAATCAGATCTCTACACTTTCTTCCCAGTTCCTGTGGCCCACGAGTGGAGGTCATCCCTTGCTTCCAGTGCTCCAGTGCTGCCTCTGGCAGGATAGACCTGGACAGCAGTGATGACTAATAATCCCTCATGTGTTGAGCCTGGGAACTCTCTTTGCCCCCAATCCTCAGCTTCTCCTTCCTCTTTCCCAAGTAGATCAGGATGAGTGACCTCCATCTTTGTTCTAAACACCAGTGGGCTTCCTTCTATAGCTGAGTCTGTGAGAGATCCCTACATTCTCCAGACAGACATCAAAAAAGTGCTACTAATTTGGGCTTAACTATTTTTTTCAGGCATCTGGTTGATCTGGTTAAGCAGGTTCCTGTTGTCTGCCCTCAGGGGAGAAAGAGTTTTTATCCCTTACCACATCAGAAAAAAAAAATGTCTTCAGATTCTCCCTCTCTTCTTGTAGAAAATATCTATGTTCTATACATAGGGGGGACAAAAGTCTACCTCACCAGGAGTCCCATGCCTCTGCAGGGGTCTTCCTGCTGGCCACTCAAGCCCTCTTGGTTACTTTAATAGAGTTGTTTTTAAATTTCAAGCCTTCAGCTGAAAGAGGAAACCAGGTACCTCGGTTGCAAGGTAAATAGGCAAAAAATTGATCAGGGTCACTCTGGAAGGGTGGCCTAATGTCTTCCCCTTGACCTTAGCCACAGATGGCAGTGGTGGGAGAACACAGGAGAGAGGGATACCCTCTCCCTCATAGAGGATCTCCTCACCTGAGCATGCCTAAGTAAAAGGAGAAAACCTCTGTTATGGTGATCAATTTTCCCTTGCTTCCTTTTCAGATGGGGAATCAAGCTTCCAGGATCCCAGAAGGATCCCCCTTTGCCTGCTAACTAAAACATTGGAAAGATCTTGATCCAGAAAGTCTTCAACAAAAGCAACTCAAGTTTTATTGCACCCAGGCCTGGCCACAATATCCTCTGGGAGATGGGAAAAATGGCCCAGAAGGAGGGAGCATTAATTATAATACCATTCTTGAATTAGATATGTTCTGTAAAAAGGAAGGAAAGTGGACTGACATCCCACATAGTCAAATTTTCTTTTTCCTAAAAGACCACCCAAAATGGCTGAACAAACACAGGCTAGATACCCAGACCATGGTGACCCTTTACAAAAATCCTCAAGCCCCTTGAGGAACCAGAACCAAAAAACCATCTAAAGCCAAAGGGCCCCCAACAATGTTAAAGGGGGCCTTTCCTGTGACAGAAATCAAATCTCCAGGGGATCCACAGGGGTATATCCCACCCTGAGAAGACTGGGCTCACATTCCTTTTAAAGTAAGTGAACTTAAAGAAATTTTAAAAAGATTTAGGAAATTACACAGAAGACCCAGATCAGTACATCCTGGCACTCAGAGAAGTCAGCCAAAACTTTGAATTGAGCTGGAAGGATGTAATGCTATTGTTATCCCAGATTCCCACTTCCCTGGAGAAACAGCAAGTACTAGATCAGGCAGCTGCAGCTGGGGACAATTATCACTTAGATAAATGTGGCCCTATAGGCCTATCTTAGACTGGGCCCTTAGAGGAGGAGGAAGGGGAGGAGGAAGAAAGACAGAGGCACTGGATACCTAAAAGGGAATCCCAATTCCCAATTCCCACAGAAGATCAGACAGTGCCTAGATATGATCCTAAGTGGGACCCTAAAAATGACAAGGATGAATGGACTCATAACCACTTCATCCACTGCATTCTTGAGGGTCTAAGGAGAGCCAAGATAAAACCCCTTAATTACTCCCAAATCACTGCTGTACAGCAAGGACCCTTAGAAACCCCAGTAGCTTTCCTTCAGAGACTTAAGGATTCTTTACAAAAGCATACCAACATTGTATCAGAGTCACGGGAGTAGGAGATTGTCCTAAAAGATAAATTTCTAACACAGTCAGCCCGATATTTGTAGAAAGCTTCAGAAATTGGTGGCTGAAGGAATCAGAGATCTAGACCAATTGGTCCATGTAGCCACATCCATATACTATAATAGGGACTTAGAAAAAGAAAAAAAGGACCTGGAGAGGAAAAAGAGAAAGGACAAAGGGCAGAAGGCTCTGATCCCAGCACTCAGAAAGGTTCCCCTGGGGCAGAGTCCAAGCTGAGGGTATGTTTTCAATGTGGACAGGCAGGCCATTTTAGGAGGGAGTGCCCCATTTGCCAGGGAAATCACTGGAAGGTGCACTATCCTCAGTTCCCCTGGGAGCTGAGGCCAGAGCCTCTCACTTAATGATGGTCCTGGGGCTTCTGATCCAGGCTCCTGTGACCACCATAAAAGCAGAGGAGCCCTGGCAATACTTACTATTGAAAAGCACAAAGTCAGCCTCTTTATCAGTACTGGAGCCAGCATTCCAGCTATTTCTTTCTCTCCTGGACCCAGGTCCTCCAAGAAAATTACTGTTCAGGGTCTACCAAGCCAGCCCTTAGAGTGTTATTTCACTCAGCCTCTAGCCTGCTCCTGGGGAGATTTCCACCTCTATTGCTCCTTTTTAATTGTCCCAGAAACCCCTACTCCTCTGCTAGGGCAAGACCTTCTATCTAAATTGGGGATACAGCTCCTTTTATCCCCAGGTAAGTACTTTTGATTGCCCCTGATAGAGGAACAAGTAGACCCCATGGTTGAAAAGTTGGACATAATGTAGGACAGGCACGAGCAGCGGTCCCAGTCCTAATTCATCTCAAGGACTCCTCTTGGTTTCCCCATCAAAAATAATGTCCTTTAAGACTGGAAGTTAAGGAGGGGCTATTCCCACAGTCAAAGACTTAAAGAGATAGGGACTGCTAATAGAATGCTCCAGACCACATAATACACTTATTCTCAGTGTCAGGAAGGGACCTAACAAATGGAGGCAAGTCCAAGATCTCCACCTGATCAATGAAGCAGTACTGCCTCTCCACCCTGTAGTTCCAAATCCCTATATGTTTTAGCCAAATACCTCCAAGTACTGCTTACTACTCGTCCTGGACTTAAAGGATGCCTTCTTTTGCATTCCCTTACACCCTGAAACTCAACCTATCTTTGGCTTTGAGGACCCCACACGAAAGTCTGGACAAGTCACCTGGACTGTCCACCCCAAGGATTCAGAGACAGCCCCCATCTCTTTGGGTTGGCTCTATTCCAAGACTTGGCAGAGTGGCAATATCCACAAGCTACTCTGCTACACTATGTAGATGACCTCCTCCTCTGTGGACTGACTAAGCCTGTCATTTCACAAGCCACTGAATCCTTACTAAACTTCCTAGCAGATAGAAGTTATAAAATCTCAAAAAAAAAAAAGCCCAATTGTGTCAGTCTAGGGTTACATATTTAGGTCTTGTCCTGGAGAAAGAAATGAGGCTCTGGGAGAAGATAGAATCCATTCAAGCCTGATATTTCTTCTACCTAAGATTCTAAAACAATTGAGGGCCTTTCTTGGGTGGCAGGATACTGTAGAATTTGGATCCTGCAGACCTACCCAGACCCTTATATCAGATTCTTAAGGAAGCACAGAAGGATCTCCAGCCCTTTATTGAATAGGATGACAAGTCAGAAAATGCATTCCACCAGTTAAAAAAAAGGCCCTTATGACAGCTCCAGCCCTAGATCTCCCAGTACAAGACAAGCTTCAATTATATGTCTATGAAAAGGGAGGATTGGCCCTGGGAATGGTGACTTAGCTCCAGGGCATCACTCCCCAGCCAGTGGGCTACTTAAGTAAAGAATTAGATCAGGTAGCCACAGGATGGCCAGGATGTCTTCAAGCAGTCGCTACAGTTGGCTAACTCTAGTGCCTAAAACTTAAAAACTTGTCCTAAACTGGTCCCTGATAGCTTATACCCCCCATGACATAGGGGAAATTTTAAACTCAAAAGGGAGGTTACTCTAATAGTTTTAGGGATAACAGCATTGATTGCAGCCTTAGCTGGAATAAGCTATGGGGTGATTGCCAATTATGTAATGGCAAAAGATCTAGCCAAAATAGTAGAGGGCACCTCAGACCAGGTAGGCCTTGCCATTAAGGTCATGCAAAGGTCTTTGTCATCCCTTGCCTGTATGGCCATGGACCACCGCCTAGCCCTAGATTTTCTTTTGGCTAAACAAGGAGGGGTATATACCATCACCAATACTCCCTGTTGCACATATATGAACACTTCAGGCATTGTAGAGAAATGTGCAGACTACATTCTCTAACAGGCTAAAGGGCTCCAGTCCCCGAAACTTAAGCTTCTACACAGGTATGGAACCAAATAAAATCCTGGCTCCCCTCCAGGACATGGTTCCTACCTTTTCTGGAGCCTATAGTTGCCATTATTCTCTTACTTGGACCTTGCATTTTAACCTTACTTGTCAAGTTTGTTTCCTCTTGCCTAGAATCCATCAAACTCCAGAGACCCCTGATGGAGATGAAAAAGACTATTGAAGTCCCCTGGATAACCCATCTGGCCATCCCTGATACTGCAGTTCCCTTTATCTCCCCCTGGCAGCAGGAATCAGTTCCTGAATAGACTTTTCTGTCCCTATCCTTAACAACAGTTAGGGAAATTACTGAGAGGGCAGACTTGAAAGACAGACTGCAAGAGGTCCCAAAAGGTGATAATTGGCCAAGGAGATTCTTCTCCCTGCCAGGAGATGTCTGTTTGCACCTGAGAGACATCTCCACCATTGGGCAATACAAAAAAACCTATAAAAACCAAATTTCCAACCTGACCCACAGAACACCGGTTTCTGTGTACCCCTGCATGCACCCATGCAGACTTTCTCTTCTCTTCTCTACAAATAAAATCTTTCCAACCTCTGCTGCTCAAGTCTACCTCTTCTTTCCTTCTCAGAGTGGACCCAAAGACAGTCAACAGCTGAAAATTTCTGCATGTCATCTGTATCAATGACAAAACAGAATTATTAAAAATTGAATTTGTTAATAAAAATCTTCCCATCAAATTGTCTACAATGACAAATATTTTGTTTTCTTGTGGTGCTAAGGACCAAACCCAGGGCCTTGCATATTATTCAAGTGCTCCACTTATAAGCTAACTTCCTAGCCTTTACACGTACCAAATTTAAAGCAAACATTAACGGAAGAAATAATACTGATTTTAAATACGCAAAATTTCAGAAATCTTAGACATGAGGAACATTTCCCATAATTTATAAGTGTAATAATTAGAATCAAACCAGGCACACATTACAGATTAAAAAAAAAATCTTCCCATCAAATTGTCTACAATGACAAATATTTTGTTTTCTTGTGGTGCTAAGGACCAAACCCAGGGCCTTGCATATTTATTCAAGTGCTCCACTACTAAGCTACATTCCTAGCCCTTTACACTACCAAATTTAAGCAAACATTTAAGGAAGAAATAATACTGATTTTATACGCAAACATTTCAGAAACTTAGACAATGAGGTAACATTTCCCAAATAATTTTATAAGTGTAAAATTAGCATCAAACCAGGCAAACACATTACAGATTAAAAAAAAAAAGCACTACTAGCCCTTACAAATATAACACATAAAATTTTCACAAAATTTAGCAAATCAAAACTAGCACCACATAAAAAGAATAATGCAACGTGACTAGATCAAATTTTTCCCAGGAATTCAGATTGATTGAACACCCAGGGATCAATGAAATTTACTATATTAACAGAATATGGGGGAAAACATAATTATTTTAGTAGATTACAAGAGGCATTTGACAAAATTCAATACTCATTCATGAGTTTTAAAAATATCTCCTGGAATAGAAAGAAATGTCCTCAAACTGCCTAGGGGCAGTTATTAAAATTCTATGGGTAATAAATATCATCCTAAATGAAATGTTTCCCTTCCTAAACCAGAGGTAAAGCAAAAATATCTGTTCTTGAAACTTTTTTTTCAATTTTGTAGTTCTGTAATAAAACAAGGAGAAAAAAGGAAAGCTATACATCAGAAACAAAGACACAAAACTCTCCCTACATAAGGATAACAGGATTGACAAGGATCTGCAAAACAACTCCTACAACTAATTGAATTCAGCAAAGTCATAATAAAAAACCACAATACTTTAAAGCAATTGTATTTTCTATAATAGCACAAACAATTATAAATTGAAATTTTACAAAGTGAAAAGACAAATCATAGAAAAGGAGAAAATATTTTAAAATATGTATCTCAAACAAAAGGCCACTGGGTAGAATATGTAAAGAACTGTTACATTCCTATAAAAACCAGTTGAAAAAACTGAACAAATAATTTGACAAATACCTCACCAAAAAAAAAAAGAAAGATTCAGGGTTGGAGATGTGGCTCAAGCAGTAGAGCATAAGCTCAAACCCCTGAGTTCAACCACCAGTACCACCAAAAAAACAACCTAAAAAAAAGGGAACAGATAAATAGAAAGAGGTAAACATGTTCAATTGTAGCAACCATGAAGAAAATGCAGATAAAAGCAGTGAGGTAATTCATATCTATGAGTATGGTTAATATTAAGGCGGCTGATAGTAAGTGCTGGCAGGAGAGAGAAGCAATTGGAATACACACATTGCTAGTGGGAATGCAAAACAATGTAACTACACTAGAAAACTTCTGCTAATTGTTTTGCAAAGCTAACTATGTGCCCACCATAGAGCTTGGCAATTCCAATGGTAAGAATTTACCTAAGAGAAAAGAAAACAAAAATCCACATACAACTTGTGCGTGACTGTTCACAGAGAGCTATTTACAAGTATTTATTCACAACACCCCAAAACTGTTAAAAACCCAAGTGTCATTAACATGTACATGGATAAAATGTCCACATGATGGAATATTAATCAGCAGCAAGCAGGAAAACATAACAACATCAGCAAACTTCAAAATCATTCTGGTAAATGAAAAAGCACACGAAAGAATACACTCTAAATACTACACAAAATACTACTTCTAACAAAATGGTATGCAGTCTGGTGACAGAGAATAGGTGGGTGGTTGCCTCTGACGGGGACTGCAGAGACACATGACACAGTCTGGAAATGTTTCCACCTTGTTCGTGGAGATGATTCACAGGAGTACACAATGTCGAAACCCATCAAAGAGTACATTTCACATTGCATGGAGTTAACTATTTATAAGTTATTACTCAACAAAATTGAAAGCGAGTAACTAGAACTAGTGTCAGCAATTTCAGGTTTTAATACACATAACATTAGACCCTGCAAAATAAAGGATAAACATAAACCCTTCGCACTGAAGATAATGTTAAAAAAAAAATTCCATCTAAGTCACAGTCATCAGTAGGAGTGAGTTTTGTGATTTTACTAGCACTGAAACCTCTTAGTAACTTTGAGCACCAGAAGTTTCCTTTCCCAAGTCATCGTTGTCATATGCCTGAGCAAGCAAATACCACCCACGGGATGCACATTGCATCGGTGTGACTGCACAAACCAGACTCCAGAGAGACTCCCTTCAGAGAGAAAAAGGATCTCAGAAACAGCACATGACTTTTCTGTGATGTTAAACAGTTTTTATCTACTAAAAAATGAGGCACTGTGTGCTCTTCACTCTAAAAAACCTACATGTTATGTGCATTTCTGAAATTTCAGCAACAACCTCTGATTCAGTAACTGCCATTAACCAAGAAGAGCATATATTATGCCATACTTAAATGGTTGTTTGACAGTGTTGTTAATATTTATTTATTATTTCTAGTGTATAGGGATAAGAAACAAAAAAGTTAAGATTTCCTGCCCTTTGATTCACTGGAAACATGGTTAGGAGAGGCCTGGAAAATGAATTTCAAACTTCAAAACTGTTTTCTTTCAAACTTCAATAACTCTTCAAATTTATTTTAACAACTTTATAGCTTAACCTTTATGGATTAAGACTATTCTGTATCTGTGGGAGTAAGGAGGTGAATGAGGGAGATCAAGGTGAGGGTATATGGCTGATGAACTGCATATACTTATAGAACAAAGAAACCTCTTGCAATTGCTTTAAGTGGAGAGTGAGGATGGCATTGAGAAGGAGAAATGGTGGGGGTGATTTAACCAATGTACAATATAAGCCAATTTGAAACTGTCACAATGAATCCCCCCTGTGCAATGAATAGATCCTAATAAAAAAGACATTTCTAATGAATTCATATTCCACTGTTTTCCACTGACTTCATATACTTATAAGAGGTGATGAATGGCTCTGTGTCATCTGCCTTCCACCCATACATGAACTACTCAAATCTGGGACATATTTAAAGGAGAGAAAATGAAATCAATCTTATATCCTCAATAGTGCAGAAGCCACTGTTTCTCCACAGAGTCCTACACAACATGATAGAAAATCAGTAGATTTTAACTGAAATTACACAGAAATCACTGTCCATGGGGATAGGTCCAGTGTGGATACCTTACATGAGATTAAACTCCTTTCTCATACAGCACTCCCTAATTTTATTTGGTCCATTGATGGGCACTTCAATGTATAGGCTTTTCTAAAGAATCTTAGAATTGGAACTGAGAAGAATTCATTAATCTCCTTTCCTTCCTTAATTTCCTGCCACAAGGGGGAAAACAAGGAAAACAATGAAGTAGAAGCAGAGAGAGAAAATAGAGATGAGCCCTTATCAACTTCAACTTTCTAGTCACATAGTTCCTGAGCTCGCATGCATCACTTCTCTTGGATTCCATAGAATTTCTTATAACCAAAATAGTCCTAATAAACTTCCAATTTTATTTTTTAAAAATTGCTGTATTGTAGTTTTTTCTTAAGGCAATGATATAGAGAGAAGGGGTGAATGTTTTGTCATTATAAGGTACTTGTATTACCCATGAGGCAATATAGCATTACGTGAAAGTGAACGTAGGTTAGTTGTTAATGAATACTGCAAACTCTAGGACAACTGCCAAAAGCGTAAAAGCAGAGGTATAACTGATATTTTAAGAGAAGACAAAATGAAATCACTAAAAAGGCTCAATTAGAACCATGAAAATAGGAATAATGGCAATGAAAATAGTAAATGGTATAGTAGATTTTAACCCAAGTATATCAGTAATGCCTTTGAATATCAGTAGTCTAAATGTACCAATTAAAAGAGAAATTTGTTGTAGTGGATCAAAAAAGCAATACTAGCTGAAGATGTGGCTCAAGTGGTAGAGCACATGACTAACAAACACAAGGTCCTAAATTCAAACTCCAGTACCACAAAAAAGCAAGACTAAACTGTATTGTCTACAAAAAAACTCAATTTAAATATAGTTTCAAACTCAGAGGGGACGGTGAAAGATGTGCTCTGCCAAAAATAATCAAAGGAAGTGTGAATAGCTATATTAATTTTGGACAAAGAAGATTTCAAAGCA